GCTATTACATTTTGAAAATAGCAACATAGCGGCGTCAAGTAAGGCGGATAAGGAATTCACCCCTACTAAGGTCAACGATTCTAGCGGTCGACCTGGTGATGTCGCTCTGTGCTCATTGGCAAATATGGGAGTACAACCTCCTTCGACCGTGTTACCGGGTACGGCGCGTATTTTGGTTAGGGATTCGCGTGGAAACGAACAAAGCGTCCGTGCACTGCTGGACAGCGGAGCCCAAAATAGCTTTATAACACGACAATGTTGTCAGCGCTTAGGTTTAGTAATAAATAGGTCACTTTCATGTCCTGTAGTTAAAGGCATCGGAGGTACTAGTAAAGCGACACAGGGATATATAAATTTAAAATTTTATTCTCGGATAGCTCGTAATGTTAACTTTGATATAAATGCACTAGTAGTAGATAGGGTCACTGAACGGTTGCCAACCGTTTCGGTTGACACCTCGGCAATGATTGAATTTAAAAATTTGCCTCTAGCAGACGACACTTACGCCGTTCCTGGAAACATAGACATGCTCATTGGGGCATCGCTTTTCCCTTATCTTTTGTTAAACAATAAGGTCAGGGGCAACTCCTCGCATACCGCGCCTTACGCACTGGAAACCGTATTGGGCTATGTGATCCTTGGCTCCGCCCCCCATCCTAGATAGTATTTCGGCAACCTCTTATTGTGGTATGGCTGTCGAACCGCTCGAGTCGTTAGTCCGCAAATTTTGGGAGATGGAGGAGGTGAACGTCCCACCTATAGCTAGTCCAGATGACAGGTTATGTGCGAGGAAATTTACGTCCGCACGACCGTTCGTGATCGCGACGGTAGATATAGTGTAGCGCTACCCTTTAAAGGAGATGTTTTATCTCTCGGCGATTCGCGTCAAATGGCGGAAAAGCGTTTCTACAGCTTGGAGCGTAGGATGCTCGCTTCGCCCCAGTTAAAGGAAGCTTACGACGGCGTCATTAACGAATATATAAGAGAAGGTTACATATCGCTTGTGGCTTCGAAATTAGATAACTACGAAGACACACTGTCGTATTTTATACCACACCACGGAGTCATTGGAGAGGACAAACTTACATCTAAATTACGTGTAGTGCTCGACGCTAGTGCTAAAACTAGCACTCACCTGTCGCTTAACGATATCCTCTATAGTGGGCAAAATTTACAGGGCAGTTTATTTAATATAATAGTCAATTTTCGTTTGTTTAGTATAGCACTATCCGCCGATATTCGCCAAATGTTTCTTTGCATAGGGGTCCGTGAATGCGACCGTAGATTCCAACGCATTTTATATCGCTTCAACCCAAAGGAACCTCTAATGGTGTTTGAATTTAACCGCGTTTGTTTTGGTTTAAAGTCGAGCCCATTTCATGCGTTACGCACGGTGAGACAGCTCGCTCACGATGAAGGTCCCTCTTATCCTAAAGCTAAGAGGGCAATTGAGAGCGGATTATATATGGATGATTTTGTGTATTCGGTCGATAGCGTGGAGGAGGCCACCCTAACCACCGCCGAAGTCATAAGGCTCATGAAATCGGGTCAATTCGATCTTGTGAAGTGGACTAGTAATTCGCGTACGGTTTTAGATACAATCCCACTATCACACCGTCTTTCGGCGATAAAGGAATTCGACGATTCCGATACACACAAGGTGCTCGGTCTGTGTTGGTCACCAGAGTCCGACGTGTTTAGCCTTAAGGTAAATCCGCCCGTAGAGAAATGCACAAAGCGCACAATACTGTCATGCGTTGCTAGATTATGGGACGTCATGGGTTTCGTAGCTCCTGTGGTATTGTACGCTAAGCTTTTGATTAAACAACTTTGGTTATTTGAATGTGATTGGGATGACTCGCCGCCTGACAGCATTGTTCGATTGTGGCAGCGTTTTAAAGAGGAACTTCCTTTACTAAGAGAAATTAAAATACCGCGTCATATAAATGTCGATAGAAATAGCAGCATAACGGTCGTTGGATTTGCAGACGCCAGCGAGAGGGCTTACGGGGGGCGTTGTATATTTCCATGTCCAGAATAATGGTAGAAATTCGATTAGCCTCATTAGTTCTAAGTCGAGAGTCTCCCCCCGTAAGGTTGTCTCTCTGGCGCGCTTAGAGCTTTGCGCAATATTAGTACTCACCAAGCTTATTACCACAGTTATCGGCGCATGTAGGGATAGAGTTCACATAGAAAGGATATTTGCCTTTTCCGACTCCACCGTCGCCTTATGTTGGGTTCATTCTTCACCCCACCGTTGGGATACGTTTGTCGCGAACCGAGTGGCCAAGATCCAAGACGAGTTAGAAACGCGGAACTTTTATCACGTATCCGGTAAGGAAAACCCTGCCTATTGTCTATCCCGGGGACTCACCCCGATGCAAATAATGGACCACCCGCTTTGGTTCCATGGACCTTCTTGGGTTCACTTGGATCCCTCACAATGGCCAATAACCGATTTCGAACCTTCGTCAGTGTCACAACCGCCGGAAGAGAAGAGACACGCTCTAGTGGCGAGCGTTTCGAGCGAGGTTTCTCCAATTATTGCTCTGGCGAACCGCTTGTCCTCTTGGTCGAAATTATTGCGTATCGTAATTTACATTTGTCGATTCGCGAAGCTTTTACCGCGACGTTCGTATATCTTAGCATCCGATTACAACTATGCCGAGTCGCTAGTATTACGTGAACTTCAACGTGCGCACTTCTCCGAAGAAATTACAAGATTACAATCGAATAGAGCTTGTAGTCGCGCCTTTCAACGCCTTAAGCCATTTTTACAGGATGGGATTGTAAGGGTAGGTGGACGCTTGTCCAACTCGCAATTGAGTTTCGACCAACGGCACCCTATAGTTTTACCGCGTAAAGACCATATCATGAACTTATTAGTCGATTATCATCATAAATTGAACTCGCACGCTGGCCCCGATTTATTGATGTCGATCTTGCGTCAGAATTATTGGATTCTTTCTGCACGTAGTTTAATACGCAATCGGGTGCACAGATGTATAGCTTGCTTTCGGGCACGCCCCAAGCCGTCATTTCCGGAAATGGCGGAACTTAGATCTTGCAGAGTGATACAATCAGTAAAGCCCTTCACGCACACCGGGTCTGATTTTGCTGGTCCGTTTAAGGTCACGCCCACTCGCGGGCGCGGTATAAGATCCACAAAGGCTTACGTCTGCATTTTCGTATGTCTAACTACTCGAGCAGTGCATATAGAACTCGTGGGTGATCTAAGCACAGCAGGCTTTATGGGTGCATTTAAAAGATTTCTATCCCGCAGAGGCCCTGTAAGTAAATTATATTCGGATAACGGTACGAACTACGTCGGTGCAAAACGTATTCTATCGGAACTACATGAGCTCTTAGCTAGCAAGTATTATAATTCGGAGTTCGCTCACATTCTAGCCGAGAACCGCATTGAGTGGTCTCTAATATTAAAAGTCTAAAGAGCCACTTATACCGAGTAATAGGAGATCAAATTTTGTCCTTCGAAGAGCTAAGTACGGTGCTCGCTCAAATTGAATGCGTAATGAATAGCCGCCCACTTTGTCGGACGTTATCTAGTGACCCCTCGGAACCGCTGGCTCTAACACCAGCACATTTTTTGAATTTAACGCCTCTAAGGTATCTGCCCGCCGCGGATATGGATGAGAATAGACTTAGCATTTCCGCACGCCACAAATTATTAGATCGGTTAGTGCAATCGTTTTGGAAACGATGGAGGATGGAATACTTGCACACTTTGCAGTCTCGGCAAAAATGGAACACAGCGACAGAGCCTTTAGCTGTAAGAACGGTAGTTGTGCTCACTAAGGAGAATACGCCGCCTCTCCACTGGCCGTTAGGAATCGTCGAGGAGGTCTTTCCCGGTTCCGACGGAGTAATTAGGGTAGCTCGCGTTAAGACCACGGTTGGGTCTTACCTACGTCCTGTTGTCCGTTTGTGCCCCTTGCCTCTTCCATAATTTAAATTAGATTTCTAGATTAAAATTGTAGTTGAATTTAGGTAATATTAGCGTTAGTTAGTTATTTGTTAGTTGATCTTAGCTCTAGTTGTTTAGTTATTTTTTTTTGAAGGAAATCCTTCAAGGGCGGGGGAGATGGTTGCGCGGAAAACCATTCGCGTTTTTTATTTATGACGGTAGGAACTTGCCGAATCATTATTCCTTCCAAAACGATATCATTCGTACCCTCCTATCGACACATCGGGGTGATGGGGTGGGAGGGGAAAGAAGACGATTCTAGAACATCGCGCAATCACCGGAGCCGAGGATATATAAGACACGCGCGACCGACGCGCGCTCGCTTTCTTCCCGCCGCAGCCGTCGTTGAACTACAACGCTTCTCTCCTGACGCACCCCTGGGGCCCCAGAGTGTCTGTCCAGAGGAGGTTCCGGAAATCGCCGCTATAGTGCTCTAAAGGATAGAAGAACCCCGGTGAGTCAACATTCCTTAATTTACTGCCTGATTAACATTTAATAATTGTTTAACCGCTCCAATTCTGTGTTCTCCCCATCAGGCAGGATTCCTTTCATCGATTTGGCAAGTAATAGTTTTAGTTTAGGGAAGAGCGAGTGCATTGTACCGCATGCTATAGTAGTCGCTTTTACATAAGCATAGAAGCAATCGCAAATACAGTCCACTTGAGTTAATATGTCGCGTAATAGTTTGAGTCTGCGGGGAACTAGAAATTTTAGCCTTAAATACGTGGGTAATGGAACATTAAAACCTGTGCAAGGTTGCATATTTGTTATGCCATTTGAGTGCTATTAAAAAGATTATAAAAAAAATCTTTACATTATGTTTAGAATATATCACTTAATTAAAAGGCATAATAAGTTGTTGAAGAACTAAAGTTATAAATATAGTATATGTAGAATAAGTACTAAAAACATATTTTATCATAACACTAGTCATACACGCGCGGTCTAATATAGAAGACCAGGGTTTTTGCAATAAATTTTTACTTTAAAGCGCTAAAAGCAAGTGATACCGGGTATGCCTCGTCAGGTATATTTGTTCACAAAAGCAATTTGGTTTTCTAAAGGAGTCCGCGCGTGTATTTGTGTATCAAATTCAGGTATTTAACTTTTAGTGTATTATCGATTTATAATGCTCTTATAATATTCTTTAATTATTAATAATATAATTTTGTGTATGTATATTTAACTAATATTATTTATATATTGGCTACAATCTGTAATATGTAAATTTTATTTCTTATTTTAGTCTTTCTATACAGATTTATATATTCGATTATATCAAGAAAGATTCGCAAATGGAAAGGTGGCTGCATAAGCTAGATACTGAAGATAAAGAAGTGTTTGAGAGTGAAGATGGTGAAGTTCAGCCAGAAACAGACTTGCAGTTCCCAGTCTGCGAGTCAGAACTCCGTGAATATGAAGAGAAAAGATTGAGTGAATCCGAAGAAATATCAGATTCACATGACGTTCCACTTTCGTAACTGGCAACCCCAGAATGCGGGCTTTAAGTCACTGTTTCAATATGCTAACCTATTTAAGATAAAAAATGCTAAGGATCCGTTATCCTGTTTTCAACTATTTTTCACGCAATATCTTGGATATCTTGGTAAGGTGCCCTAATATATATATATATATATATATTAGATGTAGTAGAAATGAGAGCATTCATGGGAGTATCGCAAAATGGACGGCATAACATAGAGTATTTTTAATAACTCTCAGGGTACTGGTTTATAAATTGTATATGTCACAGTGGCAATAAATAGATTCCAGTTTTTGATACGTACCCTAAGATCCGATAACATTACTGACAGAGAGCAGCGTCGAGAACTTAATAAAATGGCACCAATTCGACAAGTTGTAGAGTTGGTCACCAACAATTTTCGCAGCAAATATGTTCCTGGTAATTATTTGACGCTATATGAACAACTTGTCGGTTTTCGAGGATGTTGTGGCTTTATAATGTATATACCAAATAAGCCGGACGAATTCGGAATCAAGATTTTCATGGTAGTCGATATAAAATTTCCGTATGTTTACAATTTTGAGATGTATGTTGGCGCCCAACCAGAAGGCTCGTTTCAAAAGTCCATAGAGTTGTGAATCCACTTTCTGAATTGGGCTGTAATGTATCATATGTGGAGAATTGTTTTACAAAACTACCTCTGGCTAAACAGCTGTTGCAGAAGCAAATTATGATTGTTGGTACCACGAAAGCAAATTGAACAGAAATTCCTAGGGAGTTCAAAGCTTCGTAGTCTAGGACTATCAAAACACGCTATATATATATATATATATATATATATATATATATATATATATATATATATATATATATATATATATATATATATATGTGTCCTACGTTCCAAAAATAGACAAGACAACTTACTATCTACAATGCATTATGATGCAGCTATCGATTCCGATATAAACGAAGAACGCAATTCAGAGATGTGCTGTGTGTGTAGTGTGGTGTATATATTCTAGACAAAATGTGCAAGCAGTATAGTGTTCATTGTAATTACCGTCGATGGCCGCTATTAATATTTTTTGATTTAATAAACATTGTTGAAATCTATGCTCTGGTAATTAACCAAACGAATGCCTCTGCCGAAAAAATTGTCAGACGTAACTTTTTGCACGAATTGTCCATCAATTTCATAAAACAGCTTTTGATTCGCCGTACACAAATTGCCCAACAGTCTCAACGTGATATCACTTCAAATATAGGATGAGTGCGGCGATGTGCACTCTGCTCGAGAGCCCGAAATCGGTCGACAAAAATGGTTGAAGATTTGCAATAAATGGATTTGTCCCTATAACTAAGCAGTGGTGTGTTCTGAATGCTACGAAAACTAAGAAAATAGTAATAAAGTTTAGTTCTAAGTTAAAACAAAATTACGTCGATCTCAGAATTGTCATTTCTGTTACTTTTTCTTCTATATTTAAAAAAATTGTTAATTTTTAATAACTTATCTAAAAAGTAAGATTTTAAAGCTTAGTAAAATAAAAACCTTTTCCACGCCATTTGTAGTTTTGATAAAATAATTAGGAATATACAAGTTATTAAAATTTTAACATTGCCAGCTATAGTAGATCACGAGTGTATTCAAGTTAAAAAGGGGCGGGTGTACTGTAGTGTTAAATATATAATAGAGTCTGATAATTGTCTCGTTTATTTAATTTTATCCTCCTGTACCAACCTCACCAAAATAGGTAAAAAATTTGACAGCTCCATAGAAGCTTTGCCTCGGTACTGTTTCTCTACTCATGTACTTCACGCTCGTTCGAGGCACTCGGGTGAGGGGCGAGGGACTCGGCAGGTTGTGCCAAGGCAAGTAAAACCTCTCTTTACTAGCTCGCCACCGAAACTTCGAAAATGGGGGTTGATAGGCAAGAAATGTAATTATGAACCTATTGCACAAAGAAGATTCGTAAACCAGAAGAAAAAGAGATTTGCCAGGTGTTTTGGAATGGATACCAAGTGACACACTTTGGTAAAACTTTAAAAAGTACATAGTGGTTGTGTGGAAACACTCAGATTTATTTTTTTTAAATTAAAATGATAAAATGAAGGAAATTTTAGTCTGTCCTTGGCCAAGCTCACACTTTTCAACGATCGATTCAGGGTATAGAGGGTAAATACGCATTTCGCGGTGGTCTTGCAACTAGCGGATTCGTAAGTAAAGTGGGTTATGGGCTGATGGGTCGCATTTTAAAATGAAAATCGCATGCCTTACGTAGCTCCCTACTTAATCTGCGTTGAGTCTACGATTTTATAAATAGATAGCCGGTTTGGCTTGCAGCTCACTTAGCAATTAGCTATCACCGGTCTATTTCATCTCATGATTAACACGTGTAATATTTTTGACGTTAGTGTTTTTTTTCTTAGCGTAGTGGTGTTGGGTTAATTGATGTCACTTATAGTGCACGCGATTTTTGTTTGGTAGAAGGTGTTTTTCAAATTCAGTTAAACACGACATTTAATTTTTGCGCGAATGGTAGCCAATTAACCGTAACATCTTTAATCCGAACTAGTTTTTGAGTACCATTTCATAAGCACAGGTGCATTCCAAATTAGAAATGTATGCACTGTAATTTCGAAACGTTCAAAAAATGTAATTGCAATCAACAATACTTTGATATGACCTGGGTCAAAATGACGAATTATTCACGGTGGATACATTTCTACTCTGAATGTACAATAAAACGAAATCGAAGCATTAATATTTACCTTGTAATATGTCTATTTTTATTCATATTAAATATATATTGTAAGACGACAAGCCCACATCCAATAGAGAAAATTTAAGAAACATAGAATTGTACACAGCTTAGGGAGAATTATTATACCGCTGACATTAGTGTGTAAAAGGGTCGTAGTTTACCACAAACGTTGATTGGGGATAGGATCTGAAAAGGGAACAGAGGTAAAAAAAGTAGAGATCTAAATAGGTGTAGTGCAGTTTGATAAAAGTTTCTTAAATCATAAATTGGAATATGCAACGTTCTTTAATTTATTTTAAAACAATATTTGTTATCTTCTTTACTGTGGGGTTTCATTGGTAAAACATTTACATAAAAACATTTTAAAAATTCAGGTTTTTGACAGTAAAATATGCTTGAGATTTCACGGAACAAATAATGTTTTGCAACAAATTTTGGAAACGATATGATTTAAATACAAATAATAAAGTGTTCACATGAAAACGCGTTAAAAGATTTGTTTGGGTTCACAATCACTATCATAGGAATAATCAACTAATTGATATAGGAACACAACAGCACAAGAAAACATTCACTTTTATACATAGAAGTAGAACCAGATACCTAACTATTTAAAATTATTTATTTATATCGACTCTATGCTTACCAACAAATCCTGAAATTTGTCGAAAAATTTACACCGTTTTGTGGAGTACACAAGCAGGCAACGACATAACATATTGTGTTACTTATTTTACACTACAAGTTTCGAAACATTACGTGTTAAATGTTTTTTGTACAAATGCATGATTGAAAACAACTTTTTAATAGTCATTTAGCCCGAGCTTCGCACAGGTGGTTTCTTGATCTCGACAAAAGCGACACCTACTGGGTCCAGTTGTCAATTAAAACCATTCAAACACACACAAAAAATTAATCAAAATCGGTCGGATGGTTTCAAAGTCTACAACGGATAGATAGAAACATTATTATGTGTTTTATATTGATAGATAAATCATATTTAACATGTACATTATACTTACAAACAATAATATAACACATCCTTACCCTGTTGTAAATTCAATATCAAAAACTTAACAAATTTTCTTTTAAATCAATTAAAAAACGCTGTATATACGTATCTATAGTAATGATATACGGAATATGCTGTGGGATTTGGCAACCGTCCAGATCTCAACTCTTTTGTCACGAAGCCTGACTGACCTGAACGTCGTTTTTACTGAACATGGTCCCTTTGAATGGATTCGAGTTTGATTGTTATTGAAGTATGATCACGAAGGTTAAAATGTTGTGTATGAATTTGTGAACTGTGATAAAACATGGATATATTGTTATATTATGAAAAGAAAGCACTGTCTTCTGTATGGATGTTTAAAGGCGACAACAAACAAAGAGGTAGGTCGAATTTCGGTCACGCTGGCCAGCCTCAACGGGGAAACGAAATTCGGTCTGGAGGAAAAATTTTGATTTCAAAACTGGTCAGAACAAATGAAAAAGTGCTTTAAATGTAAAGGAGATTATTCGAAAAACGGTAAATATATTACATATAAATTGTTTTATTTGTGAGTAGCGTAAATCTTTCAGCGCACCCCATGCGGGAACGAGACACCGCATCAGCACAACTTGTTTCCTTTGTTGTATTTCCTATTTCTTATATTTTATTTTACGTATTGTTCCATATTTAGATATCAAATTAGGTTTACATACTTAATTTTAATAATTAATTGTAATAATTTAAGTAACTAAGTTACAATATATTAAATACAAATAGTTTTTTTTCTGCAAACTCTTGCTGGAACAATTGGTACACAGTCAATAGGATCTTCTAAGTGGAATCAGTGAATCAAAATTGACAAAGAAGACTGAGTCCATGCATCGATTCCGCAAGGAAGTAATTCTGTAAGTGCTTAAATATTTTGATCCCTAAATTTCCTAATTACATGATTAATTTTACTCTGTTCTATTTTTCTAAATCTGAAAACCTAGTGAAACACAAAGCGTTAGGTTAGATAATTATAGGTCTTATAAACTTAGTATTAAAGGCGAATATAGAGGTTAAAAATCGACAGTATGTTAAATAAAATGAACATTAAAAGTTTTGCTCGAATTTGGTAACCCGTAGGTCTTTACGCGTTTTATTAATCCAACACACTCAAAAACGAGACCGAATTAGTAAGTCTGCAGCTCATTCATTTAATATTCCCTTATATTAAATTAAATAACTAGTCCTGCGGCTTGGTATATAAATTTC